AAAGAGAATTTGTGCGATAATAAAGAAAACATCATCTACAACAACAACAACAGCAGCAAAACATCTGACCACAACAACAACAACAACATCCGCAACAGTTTACAATTTTTTATCAACGGTAAAAAGATCAAAAACCTTTCCAGGAATAATTTTAAAAATAATTTACCTCCATACAAAATAGAACGAGTCGAACAATACATCAATTATCAACAACAACATCATCATCATCATCATCATCAACAACAACAACAACAACATCAACAACACCAACAACAGCAACAACAACAACACAACGTGTGCAATAACCATTTATCTCATGAACCACAATCAACTACAGTAGCAACAATAACAACTATTAACTCAAACAACAACAATAACAGCAAAAACATCGACAGCGACACCTATCGACAAACACACAAAAATAACAACAACAACAACAAAATCAAAAACATTGACAACGTCAAAATAAAGAAAAACATACATGACATATCATACATCAACAACAACAACAACAACAATTTCTCAATAGTAGATAGCTGCTACGATCTAAATATTGCTTATATCAACAACACTACTTTTGATTACAACAACGACCACAACAACAACAACAACAACAATGACAACAATGACGAGGTTGATGTTACATGCGACGACATGGATGATTCTAGCTACTCATTTTCTGACAACAATATAAGCTATTTATTAGATTTGTCGACAACAAGAACAACAGCGGTAGACAAAACAACAACAACGTTGTCGTCATCATCATCAACAACAACAACTTCATCATCACCAATAATAGCAACAACAACAACAACAACAACATCGAAGGAATTTAGCTCAAAATTTGATAACGCTCATGCAGACACACAATATAAAAAGTTCCCGAAACTTCAAGAAAGTCAAAACAACAACAGCGCCACTACAACTACAACTACCACTACCACCACAACAACTACTACTTCTGCTACTGCTAATAGTAGTAGCAGTAGCCACAACAGCAACAAGATTAGACAAACAGCAGCTGCAGTAAAGCTATTCGACAAAACGTTTGCCGACGGAGAAAATTCATTTCAAGTAAGTGACAAAATCCATGTGTTGTTATAATTATGCTATAATTAATAACAATAATAATAAAAATAATAATAATAATAAAAATAATAATATGAATATTAGTATATAGATGTGCGTGTGTGTGCGTGTGTGTGTAGTTGTCATACATCCGTCGTACAAACATGATGACATTAACATGACATGTCATTTACATGACATTAATTGATGTTACTATTGCGTTGGTGTCTACTACATACATAGAATAGCATGAAATTACGTGTGTGTGTGTGTGCGCGCGCGTGTGTGTGTGCGTGTTTGTATGTGTATGTATGTGAACGGAATTCCATCACGCTCCAAGCATAATCACGCGAATGATAAATAAATACGTTGAAAAACAGCAAGAAACATTTTTTTTGAAATGTAATAAAATTTATTTGCTCCAGTTTTGTTGGGTAGTAATAGTAGTAGTAGTAGTGGTAGTAGTAGTAGTAGTAGTGGTAGTAGTGGTAGTAGTGGTAGTAGTAGTAGTAGTAGTAGTAGTGGTAGTAGTAGTAGTAGTAGTAGTAGTAGAAAAGTAGTAGTAGTAGAAGAAGTGTTGCAGAAGCAGCAGTAGTAGAACTTGTAATGAAGTTTTCGATTTTGACTTCTAAATTCGCTATAAATTTTCAAATCAGAAAAACGACAATCAAAAAATTGTTAGAAAAAGTTTCAACAACATCTTCAACATTAGCAACAACAACAGCAACAACAACAGCAGCAGCAACAACAGCAGCAGCAACAACAACTGCAACAACAGCAGCAACAACAGCAGCAGCAACAACAACTGCAACAACAACTGCAACAACAACTGCAACAACAACAGCAACTGCAACAACTACAGCTGCAACAACAACATCAAAAAAATCCTCAAAAACATCGTCACTGTCGAGACCAACAACAGCGAAATGTTAACACGAGGCGTGCAACTGTTCTCGAGACCGTTGAGATACGCGTATCTAGACGCCAGTCAACACTCAATATTGTTTCAAAACATCGACAAGGTAATTAAAAGATAATTAATTTGAATAGTAATTACAATTATATTTACATTTATTATTATTATTATTATTTATTAATTGCGTTACAAAAAACTTGTTGGAGGAGGAAAATTTTGTAGAGGGCAGGCAGAGTTTTTGGAAAAGGGGTGAGGTCCCTGTGTTTTTTTTTCAGACACAAAATTTGCCGAATTTTAATTTTATTTTTGTCCCTTATCACAGTAGCTGTAAGTTGTTTTGGTGGGGAAGGCCTTTCCAATACCGAAGGCCTTCAGGACTACCACCCTCGTTATAAATACCATACACAGTCAATCGCATGTTATCTAGTTATGACAGTAAGGTAACTCAAACCACCACACCAATCCAGTTATCCGCCGTCAGCGAGTTCAACTGCACGACCATCACAAGCATCT